CGAGAGCGCCAGTGGAGGTTGTATGGCGTATGGCGCTGCCGCGGTGGCCGCCGACAGGACGAATTCCGGCGCAGATGAGTTCCCAAAAAGTGTTGCTTGCCGTTTGCGCCATTTTTAAATATAACTTGGAAGTTATTTTCTTCTGAGCGGTTTGGCCGCTGCTAATCTGTCACGATGATGTTGCTTTGTGGATATAGATTGTTCGAGATTAAGTTTGAATAAACGGTTGTGCCTGGTGTTAGCGGTGTGTCCGCTTTTTCTCATGGGAATTTGTGTGGTGAGAGGTTAGCGGTGTATCCGCTTCACTTTAATTCATGTTACGTCGATGTGAAACTTGATGTCTGCTCTCTATCCAGGTTGCTCAGCTTATAGCCATGACACATGTGACTCGACTGTGTCAGCAATGACTGACCGTAGAAAGAATCAGAACTATCATTCCCTTCCGCACTATCTCACCAACGAGCTATGGACATGCATCTCAACGGACCCCCGAGAGAAGTCGCAGGTCAAATTGTATTGGCATGCGTGGGTGTTGGGGCTTCGGTGCCCTTCAGAGATGACGTTCGCAGTCATGGATATGATTTTGCGTTTGCATGGTCCATCGGAGATGGCTCGAAAAGCTTCCTCTTTTGATCGTTACCATGAGATTGGTGAGATGAAGAAGCATTGGAGGAGATTTAAACAATCCAGGATCCAGGCTGGGGAAGACACTACCTATACAGATTACATGGAACAGCTCCCCAGGGAATGCTCTGATCTTCCTGCTGGGTATTACTTGGCAGCTTTTCAGTATGAGGCGCCTGAGCCGTGTCGTCACTGGAACGGATCAGTTTGCTGGTTGGATTTTTCAGTTTGGATGAAACCTCCAGAGGTTCGATTTCATTTTTTTAGTTATGTCATACCCAGGTATACCACTTGATGACCTCCTGACGGCGATAGGCGCTTCCAAGCTGCGCCGGTCCAAAGAGAGTACGCAAGGCAACACTGCTCCTGAAGAACCTGAGAAGTATAAGTTGATGGAGTTTGCCTTTCGAATGGGACGGTCGAGCCTACCTTCAGCCTCTTCGGTTGCACCGACTCCCAACCCAGAGCAGCTTGCCGCACCTGCTTTTCCGGCCTTGGAAGATGGTTCGGTTGATGGTCCAGCTTCTGCAGACACAGTTCCCAAGGCGAGACCTGTTGCTGAAAGGTGTTGCAAGTTCCAAAGACTTTGTGTCTTTTTGGGATAGTTCATTGGAAGTATGTAGTCCTTCGTGCAGGAGATGGATGCGCCGGACTGTGATGACGTCACGCAGATGGGCACTGCCGAGGAGAGGACTACAGACCCAGGTCATGAAGACGTTGCTTTCCCTGGGTTCGAAGGTGATCAGACTGAAGCAGACCCGGTCAGTAAGATGCAAGAGGCTTTGAAGTTGCGGGAAGAGTCCAAGGGCAAGGTCACTGCACCAAACAAAGAGAGCCAGCTGGGTGCCAAACCAAAGTCCACGTGTGCCATGAAGAGGCCGGCTTCCGCCAAGATGGTCACGGCGAAGGCGAAAGCCAAGTGTGCCATGAAGGTTGCTCCAAAGGGCAGTGCTAAAAAGGCAGGGTATATTCTGGTTCAAAAAGGGCTTTCAGTCACACCACTTTTTTTCCTTGAAAGGGTTCCGATTTCCCATGTAGGTCGACAAAAAGACGCAGAAGAAACCGGCCAAGCAGGTGAAGATGACTCGCTCATGCGTCTATTCGAGAGCCTACCACCACATGAAATGCCGCCAAACAGCAAAAAAAAACAAGACAAACATCATCTGTTGGTTTTGTTTTTTTTTTGGAACGTAAACTATAGCGAGCGGTGTGTCCGCTTCATATACATGTTTCTAGCGGTGTGACCGCTGAATGACTAAGCAAGTAACGCGTCATGTTTATTGACACCATGTGCCAATATATTGGGTATATTTTTTTCCTTTGCATACCTAGGCAAGCTACTAGCTGATGGCAAATTGTCCGAAGAGATGATCACCAAGAAAGCCAAAGCTGCTGGTAACGCAGCTGTGAAGAAGGTCTTCCATGTCAGCTGAGCCAGACAGAAGTCTGATTTTGAGCGATGCCACTTCGAATCTATATCGGCAAAAGAGAAATGACAAAGGGTATCTGTTGGGTTTGTCACAAACTTGGAACAATATTGAATTAAACTGGCATCGAAAATGTTAGTTCATTTGTGCTTTAGATGTGCTTTGTTTGGTTCGAAGCGGTTTGACCGCTCCAAGCGGTTTGTCCGCTCGAGGTAGCATATGCGTGTAATGGCAAATATTTAAATAAAATAATATATATATACATGTAAATTGGTTGGTTTGTTTTTTTTACCAATAAATACATGAACAAAAATAATGACACATATACATATTATATATATATATATACATGTGAAACTAGTTCTCCTTGCTTCGAAAAACTTCGAATAAATCCCTGCAGGTGTTCGATCTCTAGTTGTTGATGAAAATGGCCCACATGGGCGGCCGCTTCGAGTATAGCTACATCTCATGGAGCACCATGGAAGGCAACAACGATGCAATCTGGTGGGATATGTGGGCCAGGAACAAAGCTTGGACGGTCTTGCCTCCGACGCAAGAGCAAAGGCATCGCCGTTGTGGCGAGGCGTTGTACCTCGGCGACGGAATGGTGAACGTGAAATTTTGCTTCGTTCACCATCCGAACATGGACTTGAAGCCCACCTGGAAGATGCATCTTGGGCAGCAGTTGTTTAGCTTTCTTGCAAGGGGACGTTTTGGATGAAAGAACGGCAGTGCTAATATCTCTTAGAGTGGTGGATGTGTTGCTGGAGGTACATCGCTCGAAGTGGCATCGCGATCATCGTGCGACCAACTGGAAATCCTCAAGGCCTCAAAGTCTTGAAATTTGTTTGGCATCGCCAGACCAAAGCAGTGGACGTGGTGTCTGCCTTGCATGGAGAGCTGGTGGTGACGCTTTCTAGCAAATGGGGGCCCACGAGCAAATTTGTCAAGGCGCATGCGGGCAGGTCTAAAATTTTTGGCAAACCATGGCCAAAACAATTATAGCTGTGTATATGTTGCTTAGTTCAACAAAAACTATATATATATATCCTTGCACGACGCATAACATTGGAAACTAATTTTTGTTTCTGCAGCCGTTTGGTTTCCGCTGAGCGGTTTGACCGCTTTTAATATATATATATATATATATATGCATATATAGAATGATTCCGCTTATATCAAACTTCAAACGAGCTTGTGTGTCTGCAGCGGTTTTTTTCCGCTTAGCGGTTTGACCGCTTTTATTATATATATATGTATAATGATTCCGCTTATATGAAGCTTGAATCGAGCTTCTGTGTCTGCAGCGGGTTTTTTCCGCTAAGCGGTTTGACCGCTTTTATTATATATATATATCTATATATGTATAATGATTCCGCTTATTTGAAGCTTGAAACGAGCTTCTGTGTCTGCAGCGGGTTTTTTCCGCTTAGCGGTAAGACCGCTTTTATTCTATAGATATATAGTATTTATATATATATGTATATATATAATGACTCCGTTTATATCAAACTTGAAACGAGCTTGTGTGTCTGCAGCGGTTTTTGTCCGCTTAGCGGTTTGACCGCTTTTATTATATGAAGCCTACTTCGGACGGGATGATGAGGTTAGGCAAGAACGACCATCTGGCCCTGGGAATTTCAAGCGTAGAATGATTATGTTTTTTGTCCTCTTAGCGGTTCGCCCGCTTTTTTTTGAGTATAGCCGGGGCTTGAGCTTGCCTTCTAGAAACATTCATTTACACATGCGGACAAACCAGCTCGCAGCAGTGATGTTGGACTCAGCTGAGCTAACAAACAAACCTGTCGTCTGGGCAGGTGATGACTGCGTTTCTTGAGCAGGCGGATGGGACGACCGGCCGAGAAGAGTTGATCTTGGGCAGCTGCCAAATCGCTGCTATGGTGGGCGATCTGAGGCTTCCAGCTGCACTTTTTGAATTGCCCTTGGGCACCCTCTTTGAGAAACCCGATGCGGTGCAGGAAGCTCTGGCGGCCGTCGAAAGCGAGCAAGAGCGTTTGATGCGACGGTCCGTTTTTATTTGGGGGGGAAAAAAAAATCATAACGAATGGGTTTTGGCAGCTTGTCATTACATATATTTATATATATATTTTTTTTGTTTAAACAAAAAAAGAACAGCTCCACGGCAGGTGGATTGCGGAAGGATTTTTTCCGGCGCAAGAGGTGGCGCCAATGGTTGTTGGACCTCAAGAAGTGGCCGACAACCCTGGCCAGCGTGGTGGCAACAATGTCCGTGCTGGGAGAAGCAGAATGAGGAGGCCAGCGGCCGCTGTGCGAAAACCAATGAAGAAACCATCGGCCAGGTGATAGACTGAGATCGGAGGAAGAACCCATCGGCCAGGTGATAGACTGAGATCGGAGGAAAAAAAAGAGGTGTGGTCGTTTGATTTCTTTGGGGGCCATGGGGTTTTTCGCAATCATATTTGAGCGGTATTTCCGCTAGCAAACAAGCAACCATGATTGAGAGCGGTGTGGCCGCTGAGCGGTGTGTCCGCTGGTTTATGTTAATCCATTTCCTCATCAACTCGATCCATACCCTATCTATACCCTATCTATACCCTATCTATACCCTATCTATACTTCCGTTCTGATTTCTTCATTTTTCATCTACCCTATCTATACCCTATCTATACCCTATCTATACCTCCGTTGCGATTTCGCAACTTTTTCTCTACCCTATCTATACCCTATCTATACCCTATCTATACCCTATCTATACTCTCGCTGTGTTTTCGGTGCTTTTCATCTACCCTATCTATACCCTATCTATACCCTATCTATCGACCATCTATATGATATCTATTCGTAAAGTGCCTGCTGGCAAGTGTTTTTGCTGGCAATTTCTCCTTGCTGATCTCACTTTCACCGTGGCCAACATTTGGATGTAAGTCTGTAGTGGAAGTGTGTCTTCTGTCCAACTTTGCTGCGCACATGGCTTCTTCCGTTGCGTTGGTGGAGACTCAGGAAGGTGATGTTGCAAAGGCGGCCGACAAAGCCTCTTGCGTCAAGTGCGGCTGCCCGACTGACGACTTCGACAGTCACTCGTTACAGTGCCGTCAGTGCTGGAACGTGCACCAGATCCTCTATCGACATCTTGGTGGAGCACCGTCCACTTTGCAATCGCTGCAGCCTGATGAGCAAAAGAAGTTCTTCAAGGACGTGGGAAGCAAGATGAAGATCACCCCGAAGAACGGCAGGTGGGCACTTGTTAGAGCTGCCATGGTCAAGAGCATCACACATTACAGGAAGGAAGAACGTGTCAACAGCGTCAAACGCAAATTTTTGCCGTTGTCAGTGCTTGAGAAAAAGGGATACGATGTGGATGCTATCAAGGCTCATGGAGACCGTCGCGAGGACGAGGCACCTGAAGTGGTGTATATGCCAGAATTCACTCATGTCAGCTCTCAAACTTTCTTCTTGCATACTTGTTTTGGCGGTGTGACCGCTTCTGTCTGCTATTGTGAAATCTATAGGTATGTCGTCGAAAGAAAGTATGGGAACACTCTTGTGCGGTGTGACCGCAGCGGTTCAACAGTTGATATTTCGATTTCCAACCATTCATGGTTCAGGTCTTTGGCGAGGTGTTTGCGGCACCCATTCTGACTATTTCCAATGATGAGATTCAAGGAGAAGTTGAGCAAGAACTAGCGCAGAAGGAATGGGCACTCAAGAGCAAGAAGAAAGGTGAAAGGACACAGAAGCCTGTAGCCAATGGGGCCTCCGATCAGGCCATTCCTGTGGAGGACGAGGTCTGGGAAGTGCCGTCCGATGATGAGCCAGCCCGCGAGCCTGCTTCCAAAGCCCCTAAGAAAGGAGTCGACAAGGAGGAACAGCAGGCGGCTAAGGAGGCAGCGAAGCAGGTGAAGTTGCGGGAGAACGCGTGGCACAGGGAGACCGCCAAGGCCGCAAAGGTGATTGGACCCTTGAATACCGTGATCAAAGCCTTGACAAGCGCGCAGCTTCGGACTAGCAAGAATGAGGAGCTCTTTGATACCAAATTGTTGGAAGGCATCACTGAGGCCTTGACGAAGTTGACTCAGTTCAAAACTCGTTCCATGCCTCAACAATTTCCGCCTGCATTTCATGTCTATGTAGCGGTGTGGCCGCTATACTTGCACTACGTTCTGTTTTCATGGCTAGATATTTGTAAAAATAACTAGGGATAACTGTATTCATTGTTGCATGTATGCATGTGCATCATACATATTACATATATATATATATATAATAGTTATGTTGAAATTATAGTGTATATATATATATATCTGTATATGTATATGTATCTGTATATGTATATGTCTATTTCTTCACCTCCTATCTGTCAGTCTATGTATTGGTATATATATATGTATGAATCTCTATCTATAAATATATAATACATATATATATATATATGTTTCTATCTACAAATATTCGATATTACTGTGTATCAGTCTGTGTATGTGACACCTTGCTCAGGTGCCACTGCTTTGATCAGCGCCTCTGCGCTGCAGAAACTGGCAGAGATGCCTCAGACATTCGAGAATGTTTCTTGGAATTATTCATGTCTTTTCAGTGTGACCACAAGCAGGCCGAAGTAGTTTCTTGTTCAGAACAACTCATTGCGTGTGGTCAGGTGGCCGACGTGCAAGCGAACGTCAAAGCAGCGCAGCAGGTTCTGACCGATGTGCGCAAGGTCTTCGCTGAGAAAGCTGAAGCCGCCAAGGCGGCCAAGGGAGAGGGTGCTCCCAAAGCGAAAGCTGGTGCGAAGAGAGCCGCAAAGGCCAAGGCAGCGCCGTAGGTCACTTTTTTTGCAAGAGGCTGAGTACATGCTCGTGGAGCAATTTTGATGAGCTGCTGGAAGCTATAGGCCAGATTCGCGTTGACTTGACTGCGGCAACCAAGAAATAAATTCTGTGTTTGGAGCCATATTTTAACATATCTCTTCGGAAAGCGGTGTCTCCGCTTCTGTGCGGTTCCCTCTATATAATGTGATGTTTAGCCAGATGAGCGGTGTGGCCGCTTGCTTTTGTCTCTTGTTAGCGGTGTGTTCGCTTTGCTCATGCTGTTTTTTGCGGTTGAAGTGTCCTCAAGCGGTGTGCTCGCTGCTTTTCATTGCACAAGATTCTCAGATGTACTCGCATTGCCACGTTTCCGCTTGCGGCTGCATCATAGGTTTAATCCACATGGATAGATAATGCAACAAAGTCAAGAATTTTTTATATTCCTAGCTTATCCATTGTAAAGATAGACCCATATATATATAGATATAAATATATTATATAAATATAATGTCTATATATATGTCTGTAATTTAGACAACTGGATAACGATGTAACAAGAAGACTGGAAATCCAGGATATAGCAAAGGTTTCCAATCAGAGCCCTGCCATGTCCAAAAAAAGACGACTTGATGACAAAACCACCCAAGATAAGATCCGCGCAGGTCTCAGTGTCAAGGGAGCTTCGGAGCGGGCTATGAACGAACTCTGGAATCTTCGGCAAGATGATGAAGGAAAAAAACTGACTCACAGTCAGTTTGGCCGCGTGGTCCATGACAACTTGGAACCGTGGTTAGCTACTGCGAAGCACGTTCAGTTTGATCGTCTGGATGGAGGGAAGGTGACCTTACCCATTACACGATTGCGGCCTTGCTTGGAAAAGATGACCGCCGAGTCTGCCGCTTTTACAAGTGCCCTTGAGAGAGCACTGGCAAACAATAGATCTTTGTCTCCCGTCTTCTATTCAGATGAATGTACAGCAGGAAACGTACTTTCAAATGAAAAGCCGAAGAAGGCTGTTCTCTGGTACATGTCATGGCTGGAGTGCTTTCACCTCCTCAAGGTCCCCACTATGTGGATATGTCTTGCTTCGGTGCAAACACAATGTATACAAGAAATAGTTGGCGGAACTTCGGCAGTGATGACTGCCATCTTGGCTGAGAATGTGTCGGAAGAGTTTGAGCGAGGCTTTATGTTGTCTGGAGGATTGCAGTTTAAGCAATCCTTAAAGGCCTTCTACCTTGCTGACATGGATGCCATCAGAGGCACATATTCCATCAAAGGATCTGCAGGTTTACGACCATGCATCCATTGTGATACTCTCAAAAAGGATTCTGGGCTTCTGGAGCACGAGGCATCCTACGTCGACATCAGCGCCTCATCTGGATTCAATTTGAGCTCTGATGCCTCCATTTTTCGAGAATGTGATAGAATGAAACATTGCAGGACAAAGGCACAATTGGACATGCATGAAAAGGCGACGGGCATTGTTTATGATGTCGCGACCTTGATGTTCTCCCAGTCAGAGCGACAAAAAATGCCTCCGTCACGGATCATCTCTGACTTCATGCATGTCTATCTTTGCAACGGAGTCGCCTCGTGGGAAG